ACCAGTTTGGGAATACAAGGCGGGCATTTTAATCAAAATGTCTCCATTCAGTTCTTTAACATCAGCTAATATTTTATTTGCTTAAAAAAAAAAAAAAAAGTTCAGAAGTTGTTAGTGGGGAGAAGGAAATTGCACTGATCTTGTTTTCTTGAGTCATGATAGAAACACTGCAGTAATGACATGTAATATAACGAGCCATCACCAGACTGACTTCTGAGGCTTTGGTGCTTGTCAAAGTAATGAAGCGATAACCAAGCACTGAAGGAGCAGCACTGTCACAACCTCTTAGCCCATCCACAGTGACTCTCAGGAAGCCCTGGGCAGAACACTTATATCCAGCCCCCATGTTTTTAGGTAGCTTGTTGGGAGGAAAGCCAGGGAAGTCTTGATTGTTTTTAGATTGTTTGGGCAGACCATGTCCTGTACGCTGAGGCATCCAGGCTTCTCCGCTGCTCCACCGATCTGGTTATGCTGGTGGTTTCTGACCTTCTGCTCAGAAAGAAGAAAAGTATTAAAAAAAAACCTGATGCAGCAAGAAAAGTCTGCATCAGTGAGAAGCCTGTTGGGTCAGTTTGTCTGGGACTCAGCCCTTGCTTTGGTACATGCCCACGCACATACCCTCAAAAGCAGAAAAGAGCTCCAGGTCAATGGTGGGAGGTGGCTTGTTCTTTCAAGACACAAAAAAGAAAGCCCTTTCAAAATAATGGGTCACAGTGAGCTGTGCAAGGAGAGGGGCTAGTTGATGCCAGTGTGGTGCTGTGCTCTCCCCCCCCCAACCTGACCTGTATTTCCTGTAACCCTATTCAAGTGATAACCACCAGTGATGATCACAGTGGATTTGACTGGTCGTGATGGCTGCATCGGGCTTCAAGTGGATTCAGGGAAGACGGGTAACAGTACAATAGCCATGGGCTAATTGGAACAATGCGCCCACCTAACCACTGTGCTGGTCAGTGTCCAACTCAGGCCAAGTTTGTAAGAAACTTAACTTCTGTATTCAGTATATAAACATGACTATAACTCAATTATCTCACTCCATAAATAGTGGACAGCCCAGGGTATGCTGAGCTCTCCTGTATGGCAGTGGGCTGCACGCCAGGATCTCCCCTTGAGTAGGGATGCCTCTCGAGGTTAATCTTCAAGGTTGAGAGTTCTTGCTGCAGCAGATTCTTAATAGCATGCTCAACTTTGAAATCCTAAGTGATATAAATGATTGATTGTGCACATATTATGTCCTTTAGACATAAACCATTGACCAAGTTCAGAACTTGGAGCGGATCAAGCTGCATCTACGCTCCTCTCTGAGGAGTTTAGAGAGCAAGGGGGTGCATGCTGAACTTCATGACTCAATAGGAGGGTCTCCCTAACAGTTTTGTCTGACCCTGTCCTCTATGCAGTAAAGATCAAGTGAACCTTGCCATTGAATCTTAATAAACCACTGGTGCATTTACTATCAAACTTTATTAAATCACTGATTTGTATCAATAAAGATGTTGCTACTTCTCTCTTATGAGTGAAGTGCATCACTCCATCCGCAACACAGAGCCATACCAACTTGCACGTAACTCTGATGTCTGTAGCAGTCATCACAGGATCCAGCCCTTCTCAAAGCCAGCTCACAGCAAATACATCATGTTATAAAAGCCATCCACAGCTGTCTTCCTACCTTGTTATTGTGCTAGCTTGGTTTCTCTGAGTTTTAGTATCAGTTTTATCTACTTCCAAGCCTTCTTCCATACAGAAATGCAGCAACCTGCTGCCTCCTCCTCACATGATATATAGACGTATCTGGCACTGCAAATAAATATAAGTACTGCAATCCAACTACTGTTTGAAGAGAATACAAAACCGGCATAGTCTTACACTTAGATCTGGGAGAGGATAATATTAATACTGAAATTCTGATGAGTTTCAAGATACTAAGGGGTCCTAGGAGGTGGCCAGGTAAGGCTAAAACATTGATTTATGCTTTCAGTGTTAAGCTTCAAGAAAGCAGTATGTTTGGTGCCAAAAGGAATCTGCTCTGGGGAAAAGCCCTTTCTTAAATTTCTAACCTCTGTTTTAAAGACAAATTTGATAAATAGATGTGTGGAGATATTTGTGTGAGCTGACACAGGCAGGATGCAGGAACAACCACAAAAACACAGATGAAATGCAAGGAGTAAACTCATTCTTTTTACCTCAGGGGGATCAGCACCTGGGCAGAGGCATGCAAGGGGAGATGCAAGCACTGCGGAGCTCAGTCCTTGCTAGCCAGAAGGAGAATAAAGAAAAGATCTCGAACCTGCTGCTTTTGCCTGTATGTAACAGGGATTTTTGAAAGTGTAGTTTTCCACTGTCCTTTGATCTTTCCCACAGCAGGGCAGGGATCTCAAGCATGTTTGATAAGGTGCCTCTGAGTCTGTCACAGGCCTGTGTTCTCTAAATGCAGACATTTTACCCGACAAGCACACAAAGCTAAACAACAATCAGTATGGTATTTGTGTTTCTTAACACCACAGCTGCAAGTCACTTGAGTGTGTTTACCAGCCTGCTTGCCAACCTTCTGTTGTATTTCCACAACACTAATCCAGCCTCCACCTGTGTTATTCTGTGACTACCCAAGCTGGTCCATTCTTGTTTTAGGGAGCTGAAGTATTTCTTCCTCCTCCAATTTCTTGCTTTTTTTTTTTTTTTTTTTTCTCTGAGTCTGCATCCTGTGTCATCTCTTTTTGGCCTAAAATAGACTAAAAGCCTTAACTTAGAAAATACTCTGTATCCCCTCTAGCATCCTGCCAGTAGTGTTTCTGCTCATAGGTTAGCTTAGTGACCATCTGTTTGACAGGCACCCTACCTAACAAGGGTTTTGTCCAGGACCTTGGATCCCAAGGGCTGCCAAGGATCTGCACATGCTCCTGCCCTGATTTCCTAGTGTATAAAGCAGCAATATGTCATTACAGGTACCTTTAGGGCCAGTTCTAATAATCTGACATATTTCTTCTCACCACTTCTTCCTCTTTTAAAAATCTCCATGATGGAAAAAAAGAAGTCTAGGGAAAATCTTCTTTGCAGATAATTTTGTTGCTCAATTTATGTTCACAAGAGTGCTGAAGGAACCCATAAAACTGTGGAATTGTGACCCTCCCCTTGCATTTTCAGCTTTGAAATAAGGCAGCATACAGAAGTATGGGTGGTTGAATCTTTCCACATAATTCAGACCTGGAATTGAGAAGTGGGCCCACATCTTCAGAAATCAATTTAACCAGCGATTGCAACACACTGCAAAGGGTTTCAGAACCAAGTGTGCCTCTTCCTGAGACTGGCATTACTGGCACCCCAGGTGTCTGACCACAGGCACTACTTCTGATCCAGCTGCCACCTTCTGTCCCAGACCAAAACACTGAAAAACCTTTTGAATTCTAGTATTTTGTTGCTAAACTGTTTTGGGAAAACAGCATCAATGTCTCTTATCTTTGATTCATGGAGTTACGGTCATGCCAAGTCTGCAGTCTCCCTACAAAGTTGTGTTTAGAAATGTAGGCGCTAAGTTAATTTTAAGAGCCATAGCTGTCTTCTTGTAAAGCTTTAGCGTGGTTTTTACCCTTGAGAAGATACGATAGGTAAGTCCTGTTCTGAAAGGATGTCATCACTGAGAAGATGAAACAACACCACAACTTTGAAACCCCTTGCTGTCAGTCTGGTATAAAACAGAAAGGATGTATCTGGAGGGAGGATGGCCAGATGAGTTATAACGGAGCAGTCCCAGTTTTCATTTTGTCCTACAGCTTTCCCGTTTGCCACCACCAGCCACATTCTCCAGCAGCTGCAGGCTGCTGACTTCTGTAGCAGTAGCCATGCCCTGTGCTCCAAACTGGCCAAAACCATTCCGAGAGGTTTATGGGGTCTCCTCAAGCCAGAGGCTATTGGAGTTTTCTATCCGGGACCAGAAAAATCAGGAGGCATGCAAATGAGAGCCAGCTGTGGGTAGCTGGCAGGTATGTCCTGGTCCCAGGAGGAAGTCCTTTTCCTGCGTAAGACTCCTTGACTCTTGTCAGCCGGAGGTGTAGCATGACCCGACATGATTTTTCTTCCTCTTCTTTCAAATGAAAGTTTGAAATGGAAACTACTAGCACAGGCTGTGTGTGTTAATTGGAAGAAATAAGATAGCTGGTACCTGGAAGACCCGACAAACATTCAGACTGCAGCCAAGGCGCAGCCTGTGCCGGGTAACGCAGCCCCAGGAGACATACGGGGGAGCAGGGAAGACTGGAGCTACGCCTCTTGGCAGGCAACAAGACCGCGCTGCTTCTGCATCTCCTCTTGCGCTGCGTTTGTACAGCACTGTGAGGGGAAGTTAAAACCGAGGCGAAGCAGGGCTCACGGAGGCCTAAATGCCTTTGAAGAGATACTTCGCTGGTTAGGCCGCAAAATCTCCCCATTGTGATACAATTTCTACCCAACAAGTGGGCTCCCATTGCTGTGTGCCTGGTGCGAAAAGCACTGCTTTTTATTACCAGCACAGTGCTGCTGCAAAGCCATGAAGCTACACCTCAGCCCAGAGGCTGTTTTAATGGCTGTATCTCTGTGAAATGTCGTCATTAGGAAATTAGTATTTATTTCCAACACTGTGGTGAAGCAATTTTTTGTTTTCTTTTTAAAAATCGGATGACTGAGCTCCGAGATCGAGCGAAGCTTCCTCACAAGAGGTCGCCGAGGGTTTCGGGGCGCCTTCCCCCCCCGCCCCCCCCCCCCAACTCCGGAGCTCTGCACCGATATCGGGCGCGAGCGGCGCGCGCTCCAGCCTCCGCGTCCGGACCCACGGACAAAGGGGACCGACACAGATATCCACCAGCCCAGGTGGGACACCCACCCACCCACCCGCTTCGCTCCACTCCGCGTCCCGCCCCCGCCGCGGCTGGTGCCGGGACTCGAACACTCAGCCCCTCGCCGCCTCCGCTGTCGGCTCCGACTGCGCATGTCCAGGAGGCCCCGCCCCGGGTGGGGAGGGAGAGGCACGTGCCGCTCGCATGCGTGGCGAAGGGAGGGGGTGGGGTCGGTCCCCGCTCCCCCCACCCGAACCCACACACACCCGAGCGCCGCGTTAGGTTCTGCTGCTTTGCCGCAGAAGATGGGTGAGCAGAAAGTGAGTGCCGGCGGCGGCGGGAGCCTGCGCCCCCCCACCCCCCCCGCGGGGCGCCGGTTGCTGCGGGCGCGGGCGGCAGCTGCGGCGGTAAGTAGGGGACGGCTCCTGGACATGGCGTGTTCCGGTGCTGAGGAGTTACGGTGCGTTCATGGTCCCTTCTGTTTCCCGTTGAGGTAATCCTGTGTTGAAGGGAATCAGAGAATGGTTTGGGCTGGAAGGGACCTCCAAAATCATCTATTTCCAATCCCCCTGCCGCGGGCCCGGACACCTTCCACCAGACCAGGGTGCTCCCAGCCCCGTCCAGCCTGGCCGTGAGCCCTTCCAGGGCGGGGGCAGCCACAGCTGCTCTGGGCACCCCGTGCCAGTGTCTCACCATCCTCACAGTAAAGAATTTCTGCCTTATATCTCATCTAAATCTACCCTCTTCCACTTGAAAGCCATTGCATCTTGTCCTATCCCTACACCCCTGATAAAGAGTCCCTCCCCACCTTTCCTGTAGGCCTCCTTTAAGTAATGGAGGCTGCTAGAAGGTTTCCCTGGAGCCTTCTTCAGGCTGAACAACCCCAACTCTCAGCCTATCCTCAGAGGGGAGGTGCTTCAGCCCCCTGTCGTCTTCACAGCCCTCCTCTGGATGCGCTGGAGCAGGTTCATGTCCTTTTTATACTGGGGGCCCCAGAGCTGGAGACAGTAGTCCAGGTGGTTCTCAGGAGAGTGGAGTAGAGGGAGAGAATCACCTCCCTCGACCTGCTGATCACACTTCTCTTGCAGCCCACCTTGCATCGCACATACGTTGCAGGATGCAGTTGCCTTTATGGTCTGCAGGTGCACATTTCTGTCTCAAGGTCAGTTTCCCATCCACCAATAACCCCGAGTCCTCCTCCGCAGGGCTGCTCTCAATCCACTCACCGCCCAGCCTGTATTTGTACATGGGATTGCCTTGACCCATGGGCAGGACCTTGCACTTGGCCTTGTTGAACTTCATGAGGTTTGCACGGGCCCACCTCTCCAGCCTGACAGGTCCCTCTGGATGGCAGCCCTTCCCTCCAGTGTGTTGACCGTACCACACAGCTGGGTGTCATCGGCAAACTTGCTGAGGGTTCCCACAATCCCACTGTCCATTTTACCGACAAAGATGTTGAACAGCACCAGTCCCAAGACCTAACTAATTAATAAAAGCATTTTGTATTTTTTTTTTCTTTTTTTTTTCCTGTGGCTGCTGACCTGTAATTCCATTGTTCCCTTGGTATCTGCCCCCTCAGGGAAATGACTGAGCAGCAGAGATGTGCCTAGCCAAGGGCTGGACTTTTTGAAAATGATACCTTCTGCAAAAAGTTCCGACTCCGTCTTTTGGCTTTGAGTCTAGCAGTCCAGAAGGGCTTCTGTTACTGTGTCGGTGAAGACTGTGCTTTCTGTATCTTGGAAGCTGGTTTGTCAGTAGGGTCTGGATAACTAGCACTGCTAATGGCTTCAAATGTTCAGGTATCAGACGTTTGCTCTTCTAGTTAACTGTTTGCGCACTGCCATTTTGTACTTGTCTGTTCTTTAGAAGGTGAGATGTGAATTGTCAAAAAAGTGTGCTTCTGGTAAACACTATGTGAATTTGAGTCTGTCTGCCTGCTTTATGTGAGATTAGTCTCTTAGAGGAGGAGTAAATGAGGCCTGCAGCTGTTGTGGGTGCTCTAGGAAGTTCCCGAGTGGTGTCATTGATCATATTTGAGTTTCGATGCTGCTCAGAGGTTCTGAATATGGTAGTAAAATTGCAGTTGATACTGTATTTTACAATACTTTGCTAATTTGCTCTTGCCACCTGTATTGTCGTAAGTACTCCTTCAAACTCTGGCAACTTCACTGTGTGGACAAGTTCAGAAGATTAAATTGATGGAGGCAAGGATGTCCTCTTGTTTCAAATTTGAGCTGCATATGAAGGCTAGTATGACACAGGATTTTGTCCTAGGCCCGAGGCTGCTTCAGAAACTATGTTTTGCATCCAGTCATGTCATAAGACTTAAGTATGACCTTGAGCAAGTTGCTAACTTGCTGCTTAAACAGAACTGAGGTAATTGTTTAATTTATCAAAGTTTGCTCTAGCTTTTATGAGGTGCCCTTCTGCTTCAATGGGTGCTATGTGATGTTAGTTAACAGCTATTTAGAGAAGGGTATATTGTCTAGTTCTATGCTCCTGGCAAGGCTACAAGCCATCACATGTTGCAGGGCTTCCTATCTTTTTTCCTGTTGTTGTGGTTTAAGCTCAGAGAGCAACTGAGCACCATACAGCTGCTTGCTCACTCCTTCCCCCTCAGGGATGGAGAGGAGAAGATATAACAAAATACTTGGTGAATGAGACAAGAACAGGGAAGGATGGCTCCCCCATGATGGTCACGGGCAAAAGACAGACTCTATTGGGGAAGGAAAAAAAAAGAACATAAATGTAATTTGAACACCACCAGCATCACTAATTTGCCAATCAAAATAGAGTAGGACAGTGAGAAGTACAATGACATCTTAAAAAACACCTTCCCTCCACCCCTGCCTTATTCCTGGTCTCAGCTTTGCTCCTGATTTCTGTACCTCTTCCCCTAGCAGTGTAAGGGGACGGGGAATAGGGGTTGTGGTCAGTTGATCATCCACTGTCTCTACTGCTTCTTCCTCTTCAGGGGGAGGAATCCTTACACTCTTTGCCTCTGATGTGGGGTCCTTCCGACAGGAGAGTCCTCCACAAACTTCTTTGATGTGAGTCCCTGCCATGGTCTGCAGCTCTTCACGAGCTGCTCCAGTGTGGGTCCCTGCTGTGGGCTCTAGTCTTCCCAGCAACAGACTGCTCCAGCACAGGCTTCCCTCAGAGTCCTGGCCTTTTTTGGGTGCAGCCACCTGCTCTGGCGTGGGGTCTTCCACAGGCTGCAGGTGGGCATCTGCTCCACCATGGACCTCCATGGGCTGCAGAGAAACTGCCTGACCTCTCACCATGGGCTGCAGGGGAGTCTCTGCTCTGGTGCACCTTCCCCCCATCTCCCTCCTTTCTTCCACTGACCTTGGTGCTTGCGTAGGTATTTCCCTCAACTCCTCTTCCTCCTCACAGGTCCTCTTCTTAAATACAGTATCGCAGAGGTGCAGCCACTGTCACTAATTGGCTCGGCCTTGGCCAGAGATGGGTCTGACTTGGAGCCAGGGGAACTTCTAGAAGCTTCTCACAGGGGCCGCCACAGTAGGCCCCTGCCACACACAAGCCCAGCACACATATCCTTTTATGTTCTTCATACCTTTTGCATCCACCCTGTTGCTTTAAAAATGCCGTGCATTTTTTTTATGCAAAGAGTGTATTGAATTCAGAGAATAAGGATAGGACATAAAAGCGAAGAGCAGTAGGAAGCTCATGGATAGCAGCAAAAATGACTTCTGTAATAAACCTGCCATAGTATTTTGAAAATGAATTTGAAACTAACCTCATGCTAGCCAGAGAGAAAACTACAAGAAAATTCTCTGTAATAGGATTCTAAGAAATACCACATCCATCAGTGGGCAATAGATTTAAATTGTCTTTAATGTAGAAATACCAAGAAGCTTTACTAAGCTTGGTGCTGATGTAATTCTTTTATGAAGTAACTTAGAATGTAAGCCTCAACTGCTGCTTGTGTTGGTAATTTTTCTAGTGCCCTTTTTGTTCCATGTAGTTGCAGTGACTTTTGAGAAATTCCCGTTAAGGGAAAAAATGGCAGCAGGGCAGTGTTTTGAATTTGGCATGTGTCTTTGCGTCTTCGGAAGAAAATCCATATATTACATATTAGTGATTAGGAAATTACATTTGAAAATATTGTATGTTAGTGATTCCTAAAAGCTGCATTTCTGTTCTGATGGCTTGTGCATTGGTGCTTAAGAAAAAAAATCTGTCTACTGCTGGTGGATATTTTTAGGCCTCTTGCATCTATGTTTGTAGAAGGTGTCTAAACCTGTTTGGGTTTGACCAAACCTGATGGAATTTCTATTTTAAAAAAATGGTTGCTTACTTAGAAAAAGCCATAGTGATCCCTGTTTGGTCAGTTGCCTTTAACTTCAAATGTAGTGGAAAACCTTGTTTGATAGCTCTGTCTTCCACTTGCTGCGTAAAAGCTTTCTAAGTATTCCTCACATGTAGATCTTTTCCTTTAATTGTACATAGCTATAAAACCCAAAAACATTGTTCAGTAGTATGTACAAGATGACTAATTTTTTTTTTTTTCCATATGGTGTGACTGAGTAAGCCCTAAAATCTTAGCTGAAAGAGGATTGGGAGTTTTCTTGTTCATCTAGTTTGTCGGTTATGTTTATTGGACCTAAGGCTTAACTGTGGGCTGTCTGACATGTGAAAGCAATTGCCTCTGGTCAGTAGTGAATGCAGAAGCAGCTGGTTGGACAATGGCATTTCATCTGCTATTCTCAAGTGTACAAAATTGTCTTTGATCTTCTTACTTTGTCCTTTATTTTTACTTACATATGTTGATATGCTTTGTGCTATGTTCATACAACTTGACTTGGCTTTAAGTGCCAAGCATTGATGTGTGTTTGTCATTCTTAGGCTATGTGACTGGCTATTTAATAAAATTAGACTTCATAGTCTTATTTAATTTGAAAGTGTATTTTGATATGCTTAACTGTTTTGCCTGCTTTTTAGTAGCTGGACTAGTACACCACAGAAATAACGTTGATTCTCTTTCTCACCTGTCAGCAAGCTTTCTTTTTTGAGGTCCCTTTTAATTGGAAGATATAAATTATTTGCCAGAATATTCTACCACTTGTGGAATAAGTTTACAAATTGCTGTTACAGCTTTTTTTCTGTATATAGAATAAACTGTCAGCTTTGTTATTTATCCCTAGCTTCTGTTGACAACAGAAAATGCTATTTGTTCTTCTGCATTAACTTCTATTGGCTTTTTTTCCTTGCTGGTTCTTTATTTGGTTGTGCAAGTGATGGCTTTCTCATGTGGAGAAGTCGTAGGTGGCAGAATGTGGTGCCGGTAGGTAGTCTAGTTTGACTCGGGAGCTGCAGTAGCATGGGTAGCAAAACATGTGAAACAGTGGTGTATCACAGAACAGATCCTTGATTTGTCTTAAGCTAACAACTGGAGAGCTTTAGTTTGGTGGAATGCTTCTTGGACCTTTGTTATTCTTTTCTAACAAAATATATTTGCTAATCCCATCAGAATAAGGGTTGAATTCACCACAAATGGAATGAGTATGATGAATTTCCATATATGTTAAAATGGTGATGGTTAAAAACATTGCAGAGTTCCTTTACAACTTCTCTCATTTGTTTTCATAATTCTAGGTGTCTCTGCAAAGCATTGTCTCTACTCCAGTGAAGAAAAATGGTGACATTCACAACCTCATTGACATACTACAACAGACAATAAAAATGTTCAGGTATATATATTAAGGCTCATAGGGTGTGGTTGGGAGGGGAGCAACTTTCCAGTTTTGTTAGTGTCAAGCTGTTTGGGTAGAGTGTAAGGGATGGGTTATAAGAATCAAGTTTAAAATGTATCTTCATGTTGGTACCAGATAGAAAAACATTTTAAGTTTCTCTCTAGTTGAAAGGTCTGGTGTGGTTTTGCTTTTCACATGAAAAGCAATGGTAGGATTTGAATTGTGTGGAAGAGAGAATCCAGATTTTGATGCAAGATCTCAAACTCCTGTTAGTTGGAAGTAGCCTGTCTTTTTTAGACTTCCAGTCTGCTTGGCAGACTGAAAAATGAGACCATCCTGATACTTGAGAGAAAATTCTTTGCTTTTTCTTCAGTAGTTGCAAATTGTTGGGCTTAAGTTAAAAGTCAGACTTAGTTTTTAGAGCATCTACTGTAGGATGAGGTTTAGTTTCCTTTAGCCTATCAGTAAGCCATAAATCGTTTGGTTTTCTGTTAAAGCTGAGCCAAGTTAACTGCAGAAATGGAAATCGTTCAGCAGATCTTTAAGCTGGCTTCTTGAGAGCAGTTTTTAGTGTCAGGTGAAACTATTTTATATGGAACTGAATAACTGCCTCCTTACAAACATCTAGCAATCCCTATATAATTGAGAGGGAAATCAAGGCCTTTTGGCATGGAACAATGTTACCAAGTACGTTAGTTCTGTGCAAGTTTGAGTATCATGGAATTTTTATTGCTTTTGGTGTTCAGTGTCTTGATGTAAAGTCTGCTTAGGAGAGGTGTCCATAATTCCTAATGTTTTTTCCCTTTTGACAAGGTGAAGAGCAGTGACAAGATATCTAGTGGACATGGCAAATCATGTTTGGGCAAGCAGTATGACCTTCAGTTTAAAAGACTAGTCTGCATTGTTTCCAATACAGATTGTAGCAGTTTCAGTTCTCTTATCAGGTAAGATCTTCTAATGCAATCACCGATTTGGAGAAAGGATGTGGTGGTCTGTGTTCTGTGTTGGCTGAGATAGAGGCGTATGACCAGCTGTATTTGGTGAGAAGAGGCTTGGAAACTTCATGCTCTGCAGGTAACTTTATCTGTAAATTTTTGCAGCTGAGTAGAAACAGTTTTAAACTGTTAGTTTAAATCTCAACTGAAAGTGAGATTTTGGTAATGTTGCAAGAAATGCAGTAAGTGTAAGGTAAATGTTGTGTTTGATATAAGTACGTCTCTGGTCCCTTCTTCTAGGGTACTTCATGGTCTCTGTCATATTTACGTTCTCAACATTACATGGGAAAGAAGTGATATTACCCACAGAGGTTGCAGGTGGAGAGTGTCTGCATAGGATAAAATAATTTCCTTTTTCAAGGCTACTGCTACATTAAACAGTACCTGTTCATTGATGATGTGCAGCTCTTTGAATATAAATTGTAGTGCACACATGTGTAATCATTTCTTCGCTTCTGAAATCCTGATGTTGGGAGAAACAGGCCTTAAAATGAAATCTGGCTTTTAAGTCGGACTTCACCACCTATCCAACTTTTTCCCCTTTGAATTTAAAGGATGTGCCATGTATCACTGTGCACTTGTCAAGCACAGTGACGTTTTAATTAACGTGATGTGTCAGAGGTAATAGCCATGATTAGGTAAGGTAATGAGTTGTTACAAGTGCATAGCAAAGCCATGGAGTTTTAGTACTGGTAGTTTATAAACCAATTTTTAAATGTGAATACATCAAATTGTTCTTACTTTCTATTTTTGCTTCAGAATTAGGTTGATCTGTGTATTAGTGCTCTAAAGAGCTCTGAGGATCTGCTGAAGCTTGCTGAACCAGGAGGAAGAGCATGCAGAATGCTTTATGGTAGAAAATATTGACCAGATGTGCAGATGTTGGTATTTGTCTTAATTTGAAATATCCTTTGCATTACTGCACTGGGCCTGCAGACTTATCAGGAATACTGAGAGAAAGAATAGAGATGCATGTAAAAATTCATATAATGCTCTGTTGAGGAGGCCAAGTCAATATAATCTTGAATTTTTATGCAGTCTCCAGTAAAATAAGGATTTTTCTCTTATTCAGAATGGGGGGGGAGGGAAAGGAATACCTTCTCCTGGATGACGTGTCAGTGTAAAGCAAACTTGCACTCATGCTGGGTAAGCGAATTCAGAAAGTGAGGGTGAAACAAATCTTGACATACCTGAACCAAGACTTGCAAAATATGTGACGGCCAGCACTCAGAGCCACGGCAGGTGATCTGTCAGTTTCACAGGACTGTTACATGACACTGGCACAGAGTCTCTGTATTCTCTCTGCAGCCATCCATGGCTGACAACATGTTTGTTTTGCAGAACTTCAGGCAAGCTGTGGATCTTCAGTTTGCAAACCTGATCTCTATAGCTGCTCTGAAAGATCTTGGGAAATTGAATTCAGGGCAACTCTTCCTCTATTCCCCAAAACCTTCTAATGCATTCGTATACTGTGCAGACAAGAGCCTGGTTTGGGCCTCACATTGCTGTGGTAAAGTACACATTATTTGTATTGGAATCACAGACTTGTAAATAATGAAACATGTATCTTAACTGGAAGAACGTAGTTACAAACAAGACAGCTCTACATATACACTGACTGCATACACTAGAGTTGCTATGATGATCTCCATGTTAGTAGTGGGGTCAGCCATGCCAAATCCAAGATGCCATTACTTTTGTCTTTCTGCATTTTAACAGGAACAAGGGCACAAATTATTCTAAAAGGGCGAGCAAGAAAGCTGTCTTACCGTGTCAGTTATACCTTTTGGCAACCTGTTTGTGTGCTGATGTACATCCTGAGTGTCAACTTTGATTTATTTGCCTTGAGGACTGACAGTTCCTAAACTGAATATTTTCCTTAGCACTTCAGTTTGAGTTGTCCTTTCTGTCTTGTCATAGTGATGTGTAAAAATCAAGTTAGCTCTTGAACACTATACAGAATGTAGCTTTGTATTTCTTGTAGGTTGTTTCTTTTCAGGTATCTCTAATGCTTTTTTTTTCAATCAGATACATTAAAGAAAGTTATTTGAGTGTTTGCTGAGGGGGGAAATCTCTTTCAATTTGGAACCTGAGACTTAAGAGACTGAAATCCAATTTGGTGAACTCTTAAAGTCTAGGATTTGAAACCTGTGTTGTACTGTCTTGCACCTGTAGATGTGCCTTCAGATATGGTATTTTACGGTAATGTTGCTTTAGCTATTAGTTAGCTGAATCTATTGCTTTGCTCGTAGGAATACCAGGTATTCCTGAAAGGTCAGCTCTAGCCCTGAATCTTTCATTAGCACAAATTTTCTTTGGATCCTCTAGTAAATCAGTACAAGACAAACTAGCATAAGACTAAACTGAGATTATTTTAACATTTTTTTTTTCTATGATAGGTTTTTGGTGGCTTTATTCGCTGAATTGGCTTACCCACAAGTCAGAAAAACATGAATGGCAGCACACAGGAGGGTTCAGTAGTTGGCCAGAACGTGATTTGACACTGCTGGGCAGCTCATTTAAGATGGGCTGGTACCCTTCTTTGTCGGTAGCCTGGAAACAAACTAAACGGAAAGGAATTAAGCTAGGACTGTCTTGCGGAAGGCTGTTCATTGTCCTGGCTACCACATATTCCACAAAGTGTAAAGGTTATGAAGAAGGCTTTTAAGTAGCTCTGGTCTACAGCTGCAATGTAGGAAAATCAGTCAGTAGTTCCTACAACAACTTTATTTTACCTCAAAACAAAGCTGCCTCTTAAGCTAATTTATTTCTAAACACTTGGTTTTTCCTGCTTCCACTTTAGGAATATAAAATTAGTTTTATAGCAGGCAAAAACTGATTTATTTTTTTTCATTAAGTGTGCTTTGTATGTAATGAAAAATCTGAAAGTCCTCCAATTTTGTTTGACTTTAAACTGGGAAGCCACCTGATGTTTCTTGTCTCCTCCTTGGAAGGGAGCGTATTTCAGCTGAATGGCAGCTAGATGAAGTAGCAGTGTTAAATCCAGCTTGGACTCAGCAGACCTAAGCCATCACTACTTCAGCAGTAATATATTGTCTTAGGTTTGCTGTTCTTCTTGGTGAAGGATAGGAATTTGGTCTTTCCAAATGCCAGTTCATAATTATCTTTGAAATATTCCATCACCACTTCCGCATCTACTTCAGCAGCATCGTTTAGATACTGGGAAAAACTGTTTTGTGGCTTTGAATAGTGACATATGGAGAGAGTGTTTTAGGTAGTGTTGTTGGAATAGGACAGTAACTTCCAGAGGAAAAGGTAAAGCAAGTCCTGTTTTTTCTTGTTTGTCAGAGTATACCTCCTATGATGTATAGCCCAACAAGTCAGGTATGGTTGCATGCTACTAATAAGTACTTTACAGTTTGACAGAAGATACTATGGTCATTAAATCTTACTGACTCGGTTGTGTAGTTCTTTGAAAATGTGATGGAGAGTTACTGAACTGATCAAGAGAAGTCTGAAGAGGCAAAGTCACATCTAGGAAGTTGAGTCATTTGGAATTGGATTGGTGTGGTTCTTGAGATCACTTTTTTCCTAGGTGATACATTGTTGCAGTTCTAACCAATGCTATTCCCTTGCCTTATGGGAAAAATTATTTTGAAAATGTTAAACACATTTTGATCTTCCAATCTAAGCAATACAGCTGAGATTGTTCTCAGCCTTCTTGCATGTTAGCACCATTGATACTTGCATGGAAATACTACCTACTTTCTCTCTTCTCTGACATGCGTCAAGGCTACGAGACACCTCACAGAGAGGTACAATACAAAGTCTGTTGCTTTTGTGTATTTGAATTAATTTTATCCTTGAAATGCATCAATTTTGAAAGGGTCATAGTCAACTTAAATCATTAAATTCATTGACTCTTTCCTAAGTGGTGGTTGCAACATCGCAACTTTTGAGAGAGAACTAAAAACTTATATGCTTCTCACATAGGGTTTTTTTCTTGCTGACTCTCAGCCTTTCCTACCTTAATAAAGAGAAAGATAGGTTTAGTGCAGAGAAGTAGAGCTCTGCAGCAGCTGTTATTATAATTACAAATATTCTGTTAGGTATGTATATAATTAATACAGTATATAATTATTAATAAGCTTCTGGTTTATTACTAATACCTGATGGCTGAAATTTAATAATGTCTCAAGATGCCTTGGTCTTTTTGTCTCATAATTTAATCTTCTTGTTGTTTGCTTTTTTAAGTACTTCACAGACTCTTGCTGTTTAATTTTAATTTTGAGTGTAAAAAGTCTTATAGCTGTTGAAACATTTCTGGTGACATCACTCTTGACTAGTGTCAGTGAAATTGCTATTTCTGGTAGCTTTTCTTTGAACTGTGTCTTCAAACTATTGTTCAGAAAGCAAAACTCTACTGTTTCAAAATAAATGCTAAAGCCATTTTTCTTCACCTGGAAGAATGATAACTACATTCTGAGAATCTGACCTGGTTCAGAAAACTTGCTGTGATGTGCATAGTGTTTTGAAAAAACAGCTCATGAGGTGTTTCTGGCATATGCTGCTCTTATGGACCAAACAGGTTGGCTTTCAATTTACGGGTTTTCAAGGAAGGGTATGGTTTGTCTAAATTCTTTGAAATTTTGTATAAAATGAGTAATTGCTGGAGAAATTAATCTTTGCTTTTCCAAGGGTAAAGATTTAGTGTCCTTAACACATCAGAGGGATAGTGGCAATGGTAAGGATCTTAATACTTTCCATCTGTAATAAGCATATTCTTACTCTTCTAGTTTCTTGAAATGCTGTGTGATCTAATTCTTTTGAACCAATTGTTGCTGGTTCTCTGCCTAAGACTGGTGCCTAAACAAAAGTTAAAGTGCTGTCTGGATCTGACTACTTGGTGTTCTCTTACTGCTAATGAGAGGATTATTATTCCTTAAGAAGAGATTTACTCTGTCTTGCCATGCAGTGGAATCTGCTAGGCAGCCCATACTGAATTTCAGGATGTCAACTCTGTCCTGGGAAATCCATTGACCTGTCTCTCTTATGATACTCAGTTCAGTGTCATACTTGACTTCTATCCCAAAATAGTAATGCTTGTCACTCTCAGCATGCTTGTATTTTTAATATGGAAGTTGATATGTCCTTCCCAGTCTTCACCACCTGCTTGTTTTGTTTTTCACTATTCTTTAATGTGCCTGTAGTTAGCACACAATCTCTCTTACATACTAGTGAAGTACTTAATACATATCACTTCCTGTGAGCTACTAGATGTTCTAAAGGTGCCACAGATCTGTGAGTGTAAATCAGATACAAGTGTTTGCAGTTAACTTTCTTTTGTGGTGTGTATATTACTTTCTAGTTAAGAATCTATTTTTTTAAAGTAGGAGTTGGGACCTGTGTAGTGTCTGAATTAGCGTTGGTCAAATTTTATAGTCTGATCTGATGTCTTCAGGATTAGAACTGTACAAGGGACTTTCCACCTTTTTTTGGTGGTGTAGTTGATGGAGTATAGGAGTGTCTTAGGAGTATTCAGAATGAGGACTGAGTTAAGATTTTCAAAGTGGAAATGGGAGCTGTGCTTCATTGTATCTTGTAAAAATGATCTCATACTTGCATGTTCCAAAGCAATATGGTGCCTGTAACTTAAGCACTTCTTCATCCTCACTTCATAATATCAGGGGTAGATATGAAATCGGAATATTCAGCTTGTTCACTGTTATTTAAAAATGCCTTCTGATCAATATTTAACATGTAAAAATGCACTTCGGAGGAAATGAGTGGATCTTGTCAAGCAGAAGATATTTGGGACCTTTTCAAATGAAAGGTTTAAGTTTCAGACTTCTAAGTATATAAAACATGATCCTGATTCTGCTGTGCTTTAGATTTTTCATATGTCCTGATTTTGTGTAAAGTGATACAGGTTTTGTTTTGTCTCTTATCCAATTTTTTTTCACTAGTAAAAGAAGTTTTAAGCTCTTCAGTCACTTCTAGTATTTCTTTGCCTAGTAGTATGGAACAACTGGGAGCTTGTACCATATTCCCTTTGAGATAGTCACCTTAGCAAAACTTTATATTTTGGAGTCTGTGCTAATGATAAACATTATCTATTAGAAAAATGTTCTGGTCTTTGATCTGTATTTTTGCTAACAGTTTGACGTTAATGATACAGATTATCTGATTGCTGTTTTTCAAAATAGCTGTAGGACTTAATGCAAAATATATTTTGCTAGTGCTTTTTTTCTTGTCTTTAGAGTTGTAGTGGCTCCAGCATTCTGTGTGTCTCTGATACGAAGGGTCAGTGACAGCATGACTCATCTGATGGTGGATTTCACTCTTGAAAAGGCACACTTGAGGCTCTGAAGTTTTTGACAGGTGAAAACTGTAGGCAGTGACTTTAGTTTGTTACTACGTGAATAACTTACTATACTCAAAACAAAAACACCTTCTTGCACCATGGTGACTAAACTTCTCAGCGTACCTAAACTCATTCATTGGATGTTATGCTGAACACCTTGACTGTTCAGTAGTTTTATTGTTATTTTCTGAAGTACTGTGTTATGTAGAAATTAACACTGATCTCAGAAGTGAGAATGAGTTTTCCAGACTCTGTTTTTTCTTGAGTTGTCTATAAACGAAACTTGAGTCTTCTTTTGTGAGTTGTAGGAATTCTTTCCCCTTCTTTCAAGTCAAAGGATGAAAAGGAAAGAAAACTAGGTAACTGCTGACTGGCTAGTGGAAACTATTACACTATTAGTTGTATGTAGTGGTGGAATTAAACTTAAGTGATATCGTTTGAGGGCTGCAGGTGTACTTACCTTCCTGAGACTCAGATAAAAGTTTGCTGCTTAATATTCTTCCTATCTAGTGTTATACTAAATGTAGGTTCATAATTGTAAGTCCACTCTTGTCTAGCATGTGCTTCGTACTGCTTCCAGAAAGGGATCAGCCCAACTTACTGACAAAACAAACATCTGGAAAATGTGATGCAAATGTTCACTCTAGAGCTAATGCAGTTTCCTCATATTGTAAAAGGCATGTTGTGTGAGCCGACACAGGCAGGATTCAGGAGCATCTGCAAAACCACAGATAAAATGCAAGGAGTAAGTTCATTCTTGTTACCTTGTGACCCAGGGGATCTCCACAGCAGCACCTGGGCAGAGGCACCCAAGTGATGATCGAGGCACCATGGAGCTCAGTCCTTGCTAACCAGAAAGGGGAGAAGAAAAAGATCTCGAACCTGCTGCTTTTGCCTGTATCTATCAGGGATTTTTGCAGGTGTAGTTTTCCACTGTACATTGATCTTTCCCACAGCAGGGCAGGGATCTCAAGCATGTTCAAATACGTGCCTCTGAGTCTATCACAGGCCTGTGTTATCTAAATGCAGATGTTCCACCTGCCAAGCACACAAAGCTAAACAACAATTAGTATGATACATGTGTTTTTTGACACCCCAGCTGCAAATCAGTTGAGCACATTTACAATCCTCCCTGCCAACCTTCTGCTATATTCCCACACGTGTTAAGTGCAAGTGATATGCTGAGTCTTCTATCATGCTTTGCTAATGGAGTAGATCCTCTGAAACGAATGAGTGTTACTGGACCAAGAGCAACTTCTGAAATCTAAATCTAAGGAGAACAAATTGATATTCAGTCCATTCTCTTCTTTAAACTGATCTGTATATTTGTCTTCCTGCAGTACGTAAAGCTCCATAGCTAGATGTTGGAGCATGTCTGGTTGCCGATAACTGCATAAGAGTATCGTGGAGAATGCCTCAAGATGACAGCAGAATTGATCACTTTGTACTAGAATATAGGAAAACCAGCCTTGAAGGGCTTTCTTGAGTGACCGATGAAGATCATTGGGAACTGATAGACTATTAAAACTACTGAGTGTACATTGTCAAGTAAAGGTGTTTTATACTTCAAAACCAGGAATACTGATAAGTTTTGCCAAATACCTGTCTTCCTGTGTGTAATGAAGCTTCCATTGTTTCACATTAGTCTTGAGGTGCTTTGGAAGATAACAGCTCTGCCTTTTATTTTGACTTTGAGGTTTTTTTTAAAGAAAAGATGTGTTAATGAAGCTCACACTGATATTTAAGCTTTTTTTTTTGCAGGTGGAGATAAATGGAAGACAGCTACATGGAGTAGATAGTAGTCTTGTAAAAATGGTCAGTAATTAATATCAATTAAAGTTTTCTAAACATTCCCTTTTTAGGCCTGAAATTTGATTCGAAGTACATGATTTTCAGAGTACGAGCTTGCAACAAAGCTGCGGCAGGGAGTTACTGTGATCCTGTGATTCTGGAAACCAAAGGTAAAATTTGAAAGACTCTAACCTTAGAGGTAATGAAAACCTTGCAGTTACCGTTCTGCCTTCCTGTGCGAACTTGTGTGTTCAGTCTGCTTCTGCATGACCCTGCTGACACATGTGTCCAAAGTGAAAGGAAACCAACCATTTCTGTAGAGGATTAAGAAGCTTATTGGCACAAAGTTGGCCTTTTAGCATTCAGACACTAAAAATGAGATAGTGACGTAACTTTCTCCATCAGAGCCTGACACTGGTTATTTTGAACCGTGGGTTGTGTATGATGTGCTGCTACATCATGCCAACGTATAGCAAGAGGAGATGAAAATGGTGGCTGAGCGTTGATAGGACTCTTAGGGCATCTGAAGAATGTAGTTGACTCGTTATTGGTACTTGGCGTGTGGCACGTAATGGCTTTCTGTAAAGCGAAGGTGCTAAAAAGGATTTTTTTTTGGCTTTGTAGCTGTAGATTCTAATTACTGTCAGTATTAAAAAAATAGTTCCAAATTGCTACAGTTATCAAATCACTCTGTTAGAAATAAGTTGGTCTGAGGATGGTAGATTCCTAACATTGTTTTGTAAATAAACTAGAAGAAAAATGTATTGGAAGCAATGTTTTGTGACAGAATACAAATGTTAACTATTATGGTGGAGATAATGATCCCGAGGTGTTAATTATAGCCAAGTCTGTGCTGTAAAGGCCAAAATGAGTGATGTGAACTGAATAATTAAAATATAAATTCTGTCACTTGTGTATGTTACTTCGTAAAAACAATGCTATATGCAATTTGAATGAGCTGATGGACATTCTGGTAACTTTTTCTAAGACAATTTTCCTATGCTTAAGCAACAGTCATTTTCAGATACACAGTATTAATTTAATAGCCACTTACATTCCGTACTCCAGTACCAGAAAAATAATTCGTATTTTGTTTGGGCAGTTATCATGCTTCCCATATTTTCACTATTTTTGTGTGAACATTTAGTTAATTTTCTTTAATAATCAGCCCATAAAAACACAGTATGCTTGTCCATGTGTTTACCTTACTGTTTTTCAGACTTGTGTACTGTTGAGCTCTAAACTCTTAATCTCAAGTATACTTTCTTTCAGAATCAGACTATAGTATCTGATGGTATTAGGACACTTACAGAATAGTATGTAAAAAAACATCATTAGGGAACTTGGAATGTTGTAGTAGTTTTGTTTTCTTGGATGACGGTCTTGGCTGCAACAAATACCAAGTCTCTCCTAGTTGCATGCATCCTCTACCGGTTTTGTATCTGCAGTTGACTTCACAGTTCAACTCTGCCTGTGCCTGTGTGTGCTACCCTGTCAATTTAGTATTCTCCAAGAAACAATCCTTATTAGTCATAAAAACCTTGTTGAAGAATCAGTGCTGCAGAGCATGAAAAATAAGCATACCTTTTTAAATCGTTCACGATTGTAAGAATCTTAGGGAGTAGGATCTAACTAGCAGAAAGCACTAGCTGAAATTAACTGCTGATACTGCAGCATTCTAAAGATGAAAAAACTTTGACGTGACCTATGCACTGAAGATAGATAGTTGGGCTTTATTTAAAGGGCTCCTGACCTTGATTACAGGCATCAGACTAAAAAGCTGCTATTTCTATTAAGTTGAATAGTGTTCTGCTACAATTTTGCTACTGCTTCTATACTTTTCTATGAATAGCCACCATTGGAGGAGAGAGCATTATACCATTTAGCTACCTGCATTTTGCCTTGACCAGCATTTGTGTTCAGTTTGGACCCTACTTCAGCTCATGTGAACTTGAAAGTTGAAGGTACCTATGTTGAATGGGATCCTATAGGAGGCAGAGGCCAAGGAAAAATAAAAGGGAAGGAAAATAAAAGCAGGTAAGAATTTTAAACTTTTATGTTGTCTGGTATGTCTCATCTGGCACTTAAGGGAAGAAGGCAGTGGGGAATTAAAGCACTTGAGTGCAGTGGGACACTAAAGAATTTTCTTTCAGAAATCTTTCTCTGGCAGGAATTTTAGTTTTTTATTTCCCTTACGCTGTCATATAGATGCAGAAGCTATTTATGGAAGCTATTAGAAATGTGTCTTAATCATTAAACAGAATTTAATTATTTTTAAAATGTATTTGTTAGGGTATTGTTAAAGGTACAATAGCTTGTAGATGTGGTGAGTTGACCCTTGACTAGCCACCCAGTGCCCACCAAGGTGCTCTATTGTTTCCCTTCCTCAACTGGACAGGAGAGGGAAGATATGCTGAAAGACTCTGTGGGTCAAGATAAGGACAGGGAGGCCACTCCACAATTACTGTCACCAGCAAAACAGACTTGAGATAAGGAAATGTAAATTAATTTATTGCCCCTCAGAAGTCAGAGTAGGATAACGAGAAATAAGACTAAAATCTTAAAATACCTTCACCCCAGTCCTCCTTTCTCACCAGGAATCACTTTGCTCCTGACTTCAGGAGGTTCCCCGCCCTGAGCAGCACAGGAGGATGGGGAATGGGAGTTAGAGTGAGTTCATCATGCTTTGTCTCTGCGTCTGCTTCCTCCTCACACTCTTCTGCTCCAGTGTGGAGTGCCACTCAAGGGAGACAGTCCTTCATGAACTGCTCCAACATGGGCCCTTTCCACAGGCTGCAGTCCTTCACAGACTGCTCCAGTGTGGGATGCAGGGTTGCATATTCTCACTCCTTTCTCCCAGCTGCTCTTGCACAGCAGTTTTTACCCTTTCTTAAATTGTTATCACAGAGGCACTACTGCCATTACTGATGGGTTTAGCTTTGGCCAGCAGCATGTCTGTTGTAGAGGTGACTGGCACTGGCTCCGTCTGATATCGGGGCAGCGTTTGGGATCCTTCCAGCCCTGCTGCTACCAAAACCTTGCCTCATAAACTCATTGCAGTAGGTAAGGTAAATGTCAGCAAGAAACTGATGTAATTCTATGTTTAGTGGTGTTGCAGGTCAGTACTGGTGAACAGACTTCTACCATAAGAAATGAGGAAGAAGTTGGCCACGCTGTCCTTATGAAAAAGCTAAGATTAAGTAAAATTGGTGATGTTTGAATTTGTTGATTCATAGTGATCATTGGTGAGGAAAAGGTACCAATAAAACAAACGAGATAGCAAAAGGTAACAGATAGTGGAATATAACTTGTAAAAGCGACAGCCCTAAGAATACTTAGAAACTATTTTCATTGAAGAAAAGTAGTTGAGTAACTTCAACAGAATTCTTGGTAGATTGTTGAGTGTTAGGCACCTAACATGTGCTATTTGGAATCACTGAATAAATACAGTCGGATGAACATCACTAGATCAGTCTACTCTGGCTGAGCCTTGAATAGATCAAGGGCTGAAGAATGCGTTAACTAGCTGGGCCTCTATTCCAGGCCACTTTCATGGGAGGGAAGGAATATCCTGGCATCTGACTGGAATTTCCTGTGGTGCAATGAGCTGCAGGTGCCTCTCAGCTATCAGTGTGCAGCCCTTCTGAGAAGAGCCTGGCTCGATCTTCTCTATACATTCCTGTTATGTCATTAAAGACAGCAGCTGGGTCTTGTCTTCCAGAGGCTGATTGCCATCCTCTGCTCCAGTCTCTTAATTGCGTTGTTGGCCTTCCAGTGGACTTGCTCTAGCACGTCAGTGTGTAATCCTGAGGAGCTCAGACCTGGACACAGGACTTCAGGCTCAGTCTGACAAATGCCACTTCGAGAGGGAACAGTTGCTTGCCTTGGCCTCCTGGTTGCTGTCTTGCTGCTACAGCCCAGGATATGGTTGGCCACCTCAGCCACGGGCACAATGCAGTGTTGTTGTCCACCTGTTGTCAGCTCCTGTTGTCCACCAAGACTCCCAGCTGCTTTTCTGCAGAACGGCTCTTCCCTCAGTTGTCCCCCAGCCTGTCCTATTGTGTGGGGGTTCTCTTATCTGGATAACACTGTCCATAGCTGTGAGACTGGTTTTCAACTGGTTCTGTATACAGCTTATGACCCACTATCCAGTGTATAATTCTTGATGTGGGAATGGATCAAAAGCCTCGCTAAACCAAGGTGTGAACAGTGTTTGTTGCTCTTGCCTTGTCCACAGAGCTGGCTGCTTCTTCCTCAGAGTCAATTAACTGACTTCCAACTTGGGCTTTTCCATATTAAGAGCACTGCTTTGGGGTAATTCATGAACCAGTATCTTCCATACAGGCGTACACTGCCAGAAGCACGGTAGAACAAGTTTTAGTGGCGTCTTAAGAATGGGGATGATTTAGTGTAGTAAATGAAGAGTTGTTTAATGACTACTTATTTCTCTTGACAGTCACCTGAATCCTCTGCTGAAAAGCAGTAGAAGGTAATAATGTATCTCCTATTCCTAGGATCTAGCATCTAGTTTTGTTGGGAGTCTGTGCTACTTTCATTTGTTTAATGTAGTGAGAAATAGATCTAATAGCCTTTATCAGTAATCGTACATGTATGCTTTTAAAAATTATTTTTAAGTTTAATTATGATTTATAGACATTATGTATATATTTTCCAGTGACTGGAAAAGAGCTGTCCTGGCAGGATGTGTCTTAGTGTGTGGGAGACCTGATTTGCAATGGTTGGAAGAGCATTGTGTATTCTACTGTTGATACAAAGATCCCTGTTAGTTACAGATACATTGATCCTTACCTAACTTTCTGGCAGGTGGTGGCATGCTAGATTATTTTACAAATGCCGTTAAGAGTTCCTTTCTGAGAACTTTAAAATATTTTTTTTAGTTCTTACTTTTTGAATCTGAAAGCCTTTTTGTGTCTCAACTTGTGGTATAGCTGTTAGTAGACTTCAGAGGAAAAGAAGTGTTTTTACACTTTCTGAGAGGATGAAGTTTAGCCTGATGGCATGTGTAAAAAGGTTCATGGCAGTTCAACTTGCAGAACCAATTGTTCAAATGAGAGCGCCTCTTTTTTGATATGTAAAGGCACCTAAAATATTCCCCTATTCCTTGGGCAAAAGTGAGTATTACATACTGCTTGGAATATCTCTTATTTGCTGGAATGGATAAGAAAAACTGAGACTAACTGCAGTGCTGTTGGCAACAATCCTAACCATAAAATGAGAATATCTGACCTCTGAATAGTAACTGATGCATTTCTACCGCTATGCTAGCTAATGAAGACTGTGCTGCATTGGAGAATGGGCACCAAACTGACTTTCTGCTATAAAATTTCTTGCCTTTCCCTATTGGAAGGGAGACTTAAGCACTGGGGGGAAAAAAAACAATAACTTTTCTCAAACTTTAATGCCAAATATTTAATATCATTGTCTGAACTGTTAAAGGCTGTTGCATTTTGAGTGGATAAAGCACATGCAGCAGCCATTTACAGAAGACTTGGACAAATTAAATGATATTGAGGACCTTTTAATGTCTTATGAACTTGGAGAAAATACTACCAAAGCACCTGCATTTTTATGGCGATTCTCTAAATGGCCACACTGCTTTCTGCATAACTCATTTAGACCAAATCTAACAGAAAAATCATAGCAGCTTCTGCTGGAAGTGTGAATGAATGATCTTTGATGCACTTGAAACAGGATGGACTCTGCAGAGTGATGTTTTTCCCTGAAATTATGTTTGTTGGCTTTTTTTTTTTCTTCATGCAATCATTTGTTGCCTTTTTCTTCCATAAGTAAACTACAGCTTCCTCCATGTTATCAAAATTCAAAAGCAGTTGTACACCTGCACAATATACACTTACCCATTTCACGTAACTCTTGCAAGCAGTTTAGAAGCTTAGCTGCCTTCTAATCAAATTAACAAATTTATATGCTAAATAGCGATGCTTTTCGTCAGTTATTTCTAGTATACTTCTGTAACTGGAATAAAATAATACTAGTCATGAAGATGAACCAAAGATTCTAGCATACTTGTGTATGACAGCTTAATATGGCTGTTTTGATTCCCATGTGACTTTATTTTAATGAAGATATTGTGCAAAAGGGACATTTTCTGAACCTTTATGAAATAGTATCTGAGAACCATTCCAGAAAACTTGAAATCAGTGTTGAATGAATCAGGAAGGAAACAAGCTGAACTTCACTTTTTAGTAGACATTTAGCTTTACCAAATTGTAGCAGAAGGAAAAGTTGGAAAGAAAACTTTCTTTTGTGTATGGTAAGTCTGTAAGGCTAGTGTATGATGGACTATGGAGGATGAGGATTTGAAAATGACCTCTCACGCATGTATTTCAGACACATTTGTACTTTTCAAATTTTTTTGTCAGTTAAACTGTAAACTTACTAGCTATTTCTGACAAGTTAAAATTCTGTGCTACTGACTGCCTTTAAAATAAAAACCAGACATGATTCCCTGGCTACTGAGGTTTAATATTCACTGTCATTTGCAAATAGCTTTCACTTTGTTTAATGCTTAAATTGCTGGGAATTGCTTCTGAGGGCATCACTGAGATAAAACAAAACGTTTGAAAACCATATTAGGTTAAAATTATTTTATGCAACTGATTGCTCATTAGATGAAGTGTGTCTTCATTTATTTTGCTGTTGCTTCCTGAGAATGCTTTTGAAAATACAATTGAAAATCTAAGTCTTTCTTGAATGGGATTAGACTCTTAAAATTTATAATGACTCTTGATGATTTTCTGTGTGCTTCTTAGCACAATGTGTTGACAGAATTTTCTTTTCTGTAGTCTCTGATAGAGTTAATATAATAAAATAATTCATACTCTTCAACCTACTTCTGGTGCTTGATATTTTTTTTTGTATTTTGCAATAAAAGTATCACAGTTTTATTTTGAATTTTGAAATAAAAGTATCACAGTTTTATTCCTTTCATTCTTCAATGGGTTATACCTTTTCCTGGGATTTCAACCATTACTCATACAAGCCATACACGTGCTGAAAAACCTACCTGTAACACAGTTGATGTTATTTTCCCATACACTGATATTTAGATGCCAGTGAAAATTAGGCATTTTAGCATCGAATATTATCACTACATTAATATTTATGTGAATGTTGTAGCTGATCTACAAGACTTACTGGAAATCTTATGCAGAAGACCAGAAACACAAAGGTTCTATGTAGTACAGGTGAAACTGTTTTATACAGGCATTCATTCAAACTATGTGCCATAAATCTGCTTTTTCTCCCCTTACCTTTCTCACTACCTCTGAACTTGTTTGTTACAATGTCATGTATTTTTTTTCTCATTATCATCTCTTCTCTCTCAGCTCTTGTGCATGTATACTGTTAGAGGTGTTAAATGACTGAACTAATGTGTCATTTCAATAGCCTAAATATGTTTATTGTACCCTAATTGACTTGGGAAAACTTGGTTGAGTGTGCATTTCTGTAATTTTGTCCAAATCTCAAACAGTTATTTTCTTCTTAGGAGTGGTGTAGAGTCCCCAAAGATGATGCATCTTAGCACAAAGTCCTCACTGAGGGCCAGGGATTCATTTATTGGTGAACCATGCACAATGTTGGGTAAGGTGAACTTTTTACTTCTGTTAGAGGTGTAATGCTGTGGAAGGGCAGATTAAGTAAAAATTTGAGGGAAAATTAGTGATTATTCAGGGCTGTGTACTTGATGCCATCATTCGCAGAGATGGTTTTGCCTACATAACACCAGAATTTTGTGCTACAGCAAGTGTCTTCAAGTCTGTTGAAGCTCTTTATTACAAATCTCTTAGTGACTGACATTCACTGATTTGAAAATATGAATTGATGTTAAATGTATCTTGTCTCAGTGTAAGTAAAAACTGCCTCACTATTCTATTTTATATTCATTTTCTATTTTCTTGTACATTTTTTTTTCCTTATAGTTCAGATGTTGGTATTTTGAAGCCTTCACCTTAAAATAAAACAGAAGGCATCACTAGGACCTATAAAGAAGCAAGCACTGTTTTAGCAGCTAAATGTGGTTTTGGTAAGGGACACTGCTGTTGGAATTGGAGAGCATTACTGGGAGGTGAGAGCCCAGGACTGCAGATGCTACAGCGTGGAAGTATCATATGGAAAACTGGGGAAATCTGATCATTTGGGAAAGACAAAGTCAGGCTTGTGCAACCATATCAACAACTGACTGTGGACCACTTTATTAGCAAAACATAATAATAAAACCAAGACTCTAGGTATCCCAGACAGAATAGGAGTATAATCTGACTTAGATCAAGGTAAATTACAATCTTGTGAGATGTAGCTAAAAGTTTAGTTAGCTATCCATGTCAAGTTGAAGCAGTACAAGGCTAAAGTAGTATGTTACTTCCAGATCAATAGAGTCCCTTATGAAAATAAGGCCCAGAGCTGTTTATATAATAGTGCTTGTAATGTCAAATGACATGGGTTCATCTATGTGACAGAGCTACTAACTGAAAATTATTCAGTTATGTGGACTGTATTTAGTGTGTTCTGGAAGCCTTTCCCGGGGAAACAATCAATTTCACAAGAAGTTAAGCAGCTGCAGCATATAAACATGTATTTCAGCTTGTTTTCTGCCTCTCTTTGGTCACCCCTCGCATTTTGTAATGAAGACTCAAAGCATCTGTTACGCACCTTCAAAGCAAAGTTTACCCAACCATTGTTACCAGGCTTCATGGTCAGTATCTATAAAATTTTGTTCCATTTCTAGCAATTAATTAGGCTTACTGAAGACTTAATTGTGTTTTTTAAAGGAGGAAACTGGGAGCACTGTTTTTGGCTGACTAATAATTTTTACAAGTGTTTAACTGTTTTCTTTTTGATTTCATGTGGCCCTCATAATAGCACTCCAGTAGGAGAACTCTGCACCTGGATGTCTCAGCTATTCAAACAGAAATAATTAAATTTTTGTAGGATAAATTAATAGCACATTCCAGTAGCTGACAAGCTAGCTACAGTAATTGACGTGAACTGATGCAGATAGCAGCCCAAGATGCTGTGAGCTGTCAGAGCAGGTGTCATGAGACAGAGCAACACCAGATGCTTCCTTTTGAGATACAAGACTAGCTTTCAAATCTTTAAAAGCTCAGTGGGATTTTCTTGCCAGTCATTTCACTGATCTCCATAACTTTTTTGTGGCTCTAAGCCAATCAGTGAACACTCGCTGCAGTTCTAAAGACTCAAACTATGCATAAAATGACCAGGAAAAGGATTCGTTACTGCATATTGTTTTTCCTCTAATGATGTAAGTAATTTAAGTAACTAAATTTGGAGACCTTTGGCACCTATGTAAGGTGCCGTCAAGTTCATCACACTCTGGGAGCAGGGTATAGATCTAGGAAAACTTAAGAATCTGGAGGAGGCTAGCATGCTGGTTCATATTATCAACCCAGCTGCCTAGGCACTGATTTCTAGCCTCTTGTAATTCAGCTCATAGAAAACACAGCATGGTAATTTTAACATGTGATTAGGCCAATTAATAAAGTAATTCTTATTTTGGACATGGAGGAGGAATGGGAAATAGTAACTTGCCTAGGCAGCCTTATGTCTAGCACTTCCAAACACCTGATTTTTCACTTATATTGGACAGAATTCCTTTCACAATTTCTACTGTTGTCTAGATGTACTGACAATAGGAGTCTAGATTTTTTTTAACGGCTATTTATTTGTAAGTGATTAAGCACGTTGCCTTACTGATTTTTTTTAACATATGGGGAACAGAACAGCTTCAGAACTGTTGGGATGTATGTGTAGGTCATCCCTCTAGCATTTCTAAAACTGACTCATTAACTCAGTTCCTAAGGTATCCAGGGAGACATTTGCTAACCACACCATTAGTCTGCATCTCATACAGCCCCTAGTACTTAGTGGCAGCAGTACTGCAGATACCGCTTGGGTTAGCCTGAACAGTTAAAATAAAAATGACAAAGCTACTTAATTACAGTTCTCAAGTTTATTCATAAACATGGAGATACATTCTTTCATGGAGCTCAGTTGTAGAATAGAGGTCACTGTCACCTCTGTCCCTGAAGCTTCTCAAGACTTAATTTTTTTTGCTGTGCTTACACTGACATAATTCTGCCATGTCGTACTAAAACTAAGCACTGCTTTCAGACTCTGGAGTATAGTGAGAATATTGCTTTCATTGTCATCTTAAGTACCTGCTGCTAGCACTTGGGTCTTCAAAGAAGTGTTCCTCTTAGGAGCAAGTCTTTTAGTATTAGATCTTGGACTTGGTTGTAAAATTAGAGTCATAAAGCATAGTTGTGAAGCATCATAGACTTTATAGTCTAGCTTCTTAATGCAATTAGAATGTTTTACAGAGTGCTGAGACGAGAGAGCAAGAGCGAAAACAAATGGAGCTTCAGGATAAGTTCTGTGTTAGTTCCGCTGTGGGACAGGAGAAGGGAGATGCAGATGTTTCATAATGTTCAGAATATTGATGATTTTTTTCCCCCTTCCCTTAGATATGGTGTGTTAGTCTTACAGTGACTACTGGATTGCAGGTGCCAAGCTTTGTGGAAATGGCCCAGAAAAGTGAAAATTAATCTCTTCAACAAGCAGCCTGAAGAGTATTGCCTAGTAATGTCTATTAAACACTAATATTGCTGAATATTTTTTTTTCTTCTAGGTAGCTGCTACTCAAAGAAGCTTGTGAGCATTGAATTACTCTGGGTTTGTTACCTACTGCTGTTTAAGGCCTGGGTACTGATAGTGCAAAGATTTCAGTCTAAAGTGTTAGGAACCTACTGTGACTCCAGCCAGAAATGTCAGACAAAAAACAGAATTATTGCCTATTTGAAAAGTAAGTGGAGAAACCAAGAGCTGTAACTATGTACTCTTCTAATACTGTATTTATGGACTCTAATAGTTTCTTACTAATATTTTTCTATTAAGAATAAAATAAAAGTCACTTTCTTAGCTCTCCTAGCATGAATTACTCAATTACATATTTTTATTACTGTACTTCCCATTAGAACTTTTGATACCAAACATGCGTTTCAAAAGAATATTGATTTGCTAGCCTAGCCTGGCAAAATATCACAGTGGTATGATTTCAAAAGACTATTATAAGAAGTTGTAGGCCTGATATGAAGAAACAGCAGGGCCAGTCTCTGATTGTTTATTTTTTTTTTCTGATACAAAATCCTATTTCCCCTGAGTAACTCATTTAAATAGCATGTTTGGAATTTGGCTTCCATTTATCACAAATTACAGAAAATGTGAAAATTTAATTGTATTTAAAAACATTCTTGTGTCCTTGGTGAAAAGATGGATTATGATAGCCAGCTGTTGAGCTAGGAAGGTAAGAGGTTCGGAACCAAAAATCTAGAGCTTTTTAAAACCTATGGCATGGTAGGGCTCTCAGAAGCTCTGAATTTTGGGTCATCTTTTGCCTTTCCAGTTTTGTGACATTATTCTAATTGAATTCTGATAATGATCAATTCACATTGTTCATCAGATGCGAATGACAAATTGAATCTTTGTTGATAGCAAAGGTGCAATGCAGCTGAGGCTGGGAATGAAGCGTGAGAGCTTCAGTTTAAATGCATCTTCATGGAGAAGATGGGGGCTGGAGGATGCTATTGCTAGAACATCTTTCAGCTTTTTCTCAAGGCAGCTTCAGGGCTGGCTAAGATTTCTCAAACAGCTGTGTCAATATCAAAGTTGGCTTTGAGCAGAAGTGGCACTAAATTCCTCCTCATAGGGCAGTACACTCTGAGCCTGGGCACGCATTTTTGGTACCTGTTTTGACTAGCCTAGTGAGGATTCCTGGAACTTTCTGGTTAATCAGAGAAGTCCAAAAATTGAGTGATTTCTTTATCCAGCAGAAATGTAGCTTATTTATAGCATCCCACTCTTAACATACTATCTTGTACCATATGCCATGCATATGTGGCTATGAGACTGACTTTGAGGATCGTATTGTACAGGATCTCTTTATAGCCTCTAATTTCACACCTTTTCCCTTTAAGGGCAAGATATAAGTGGGATGTGAACAAATGCTTTGCCAGCCAACATACAATCCACTTCTGGATCTGTGACTATACATTTCGTCCACAAATTAAGTGAAGTGTTGGGCTTGGGCATTCCATCATCTCAACTCCTAGTTGGAAGCTTAGTAACAGTAGTCAAATTATTTATGATAGTGGGGGAGCTCAAAAAAAATCATGTTAGATTCTTCATGGAAAATCTCAATTTGCAATGAGAATTACTTATGTATTACAGGCTGTTTAAATCTGCTTTCTTCCCTCTAATCAGGGCCAGGAGCCTAAAAGTAATTTTCAGATATGCACTTGAACCATTTGTTTTCTAATTGAAGACTCCTAAATCACCTGAAGACTTTTAAACTCATGCTGATAGGGTCCACAGTGAATTGGCTCATTTTCTACAGGGCCAAAGTATTTTTTTTCTTCTATGTATCTTTTAGTCTGGAAAAACATGACCATCTGATCATGTTAAATCTTGTTAGTATCAATGGATTCTCTGTCCATCAAGATTTCTCAAGGAGAAGCTCCTTGAAACAACTCGTAACAAATTGATTGTGATGATCAGTGGAAAAATGTCAATTTTCTTAATTTTAATACTTTCTCTAGAAAGCTTTGTTTCTCTCAGAATCATGAAGTTGAGCCCTTAATGTTAACTTCGTATCTGGAACTTCATCATCTCTAAATATTGGCATTGTGAACAAAGTTAGCTGTACTCTTTTGCAGAGGAATGTGCAAAACAATTCCCTGTTTAACTGTACCTTTCTCTGCCAGTTTAGTGGTTTTGGTCTTGAAACAAAGATACCCTGGAAGGTGACATAGTTCTCAAATGAGCAGTGTCTGAATTTGTTTCACACATCATCTACAGATGTCACTATCCAAGTACTCCGTGTGGTAATCTTAACTGTTTCTTCCTTGTTTCTATTTACTTCA